ACTTTAAGCATCCGAAGCCCGGGGTCCCTCCCCCCCGAATCCTCAACCTTGCGGGTTTTGGGTTTAGGGTTTAGGGTTTAGGGTTTAGGGTTTAGGGTTTTGGGTATTTAGGGTTTAGGGTTTAGGGTTTAGGGTTTAGGGTTTAGGGTTTGGGGTTTTGGTTGGCAGAAAGCTCAAAGCAAAGAGCCCACGACCCCTTAACTAAGGCATACCACTTCAGAGATATGTGTATATACATATATATATATATATATGTATATACACATATGTGTATGTGTGTATATATCTACATCTTTTCGTTTATGTATTTATGTTTAGGGTTTAGCAAGCACAGATAGGTAGAAAGATAGATAGGTAGATAGATAGACAGATAGATAGAGACAGGAATTTATGCTTATTCCTCGTTTAAGGGTATCGGGCTCCGTGGGCAGTTACTACCCTAAACCTAAACCCTAAACCCTAAACTCTGGTTCCGACAAGGCAGCGGCCACCGCCTGCTCCCTTTGTCCCAAGGGGCGCTGGAGCGGAAGGGAGGCGACGGCGCACTTCGGAAGCAATGAGCTTTTTCTGTATATGCGGCTTGAGGTTTAGGATTTAGCATATGTTTGTGTATATATATATATATATGGATATGGAATCGTAGGAGGTTTCTTCTGGAGACTTGGGTTGCCGTGTTCTTAGTGCTTAGTGCTTATACTGTTGCCGACATAGTAGCTGGCTTGGAGCCGTTTCGAGATTTGGTCGTATTTAAAGCATCATGGCCGGCAAGCATCAGCGCACTCATAATCGCAATAGTTGGAATATCATCATTCCGGTCGCCTTAATAATGCTATCTTGAGGAGTTGCTCCATCGACAGCCATAGGCAGGCAGTAGTAGCACAGTGAACAGAGATGCACTTCAAAGTCTCTCTCTCTCTCTCTTGCTCTCTTGTCTCTGTATGTGTGTATATATGTGTACATGTATAAGTACGCAGTATGCCCCATCAATGGTATGTCTTGGGCTCTCTGGAAGACAAGGCAGCGTTGCACCCTTCATACCGCCGGGCCCGAGCATCCCTCACAAACCTGAGAACTTTTCCAAAATGACGCCATGGCCGCAGTGTCCGTGATCAACGATTTGCAAGCCCCTCTCGAAGTGAAGCTTCAGACTGGGGAGTGGCAGGTCGTTTACCCCCAGAAGTCCTGCGATGTCGAAGGGTCCGGGGAGGCATCGGTCTCCTTGGTGGAAGTTCGATTGCGAGAAAGCCCGGAGGTGAAGGGCGGCTGCCAGGTTGCGGGAGGCTCCTAATTGCGGGCCTCTGTGGATTTCGGAGCCTTTTCCCAACAGTGCAAAGACCGGGACCGAGCCGAGGAACGGGAGCTGGAACATGAAGCAAAGCGACAGGCAATGATCCAGGAGGCCGCCGCCAAGACACGGAACGCAGACCAATTTGGTTGGGCTGTCTTTATCGGGACTCTGCTTGGGCTCCCGTTAATCCTCCTCGTTCTTTGCTCGGCCGTCCAACCGCAGAGCGCTGCTGTTGCCGCTGCACTGGCCATTGCCACCGTGCCACTGTGCTGCTGCATCAGCGTCTGCTCCATGGGGGGAAGAGATGGAGATGAGACCTCACGGCATTTGCTTGGAAAGTATGACATCAATGTCCGTGTGGGTATCCGGCTGGGCGGCCTCCTCGCTTTGTTGTCGCTCGTAGCCATGACGGCCCAGCACAGCCTTCAAGGTTTCTGGTGGACCGCTTTTATCGTGTGGCCTGTGGCCGTTTGCGGTGGCATGTGGTTCTTAGTTGAATACTGCGATTCGTCACGCAAACTGACCGATGATGCCAAAAACACCCTAAAACGAGAGCACCAAGAAGCCCGTAACCGTACCCTCCACTTTGAAGGCAGCGTCATCCGTGAACGGGGCCGGAAGTGCGTTGTGAGCTGGCCAGGGAAGTACGAAGGGGCCTGGGAGTCACTGGTCTCCCAGAGCCGGGACGGCCAGGTGAGTGCCGCGGTGGTTTTTCTACCGGAATTTACGGAAGACTACGGCAAGTGCGACAGCATCCCACTGGCTGAAGGCTTGCCCGGCAAATGCTGGTGCACGCCTCTCTACGGGGAAAAGAAGGACTGGGGCTGCAGGTGGTTTAGCAAATGGAAGCTTGGTTGAACTTTACAGTCACTTTATAGCTTTATCATTTTTAGGATTAGCCTTTTTGATATTAGGGGTACTAAAAGTTAAAATTTTAGCCAGGTAATAAAGAGCAACCCAGGAAGGAAAACATCGAGGTCGCCGTCGCCAGTGGTGCACAGCTGGAGGTCTACTTCTTCCAAGGCCAGGTGGGCCAGGGCAAAGTGGAGAGCTTCGAATCCGCAGGCGAGGACAACCTGCGGAGAGAGAAGATAAACGAAAAGCAGAAAGACTTCGAGGAGTCTGCTCAATTCAAGCAAGCGCTGGACGCAGGCCTGGGCAATCTCTCGAAGGAGCCGCGTGGCGACGGATCCTCCCAGAAAAGCCGAGAAGTGCGGCGTTTGTTCCTCGCTTCCCTCCAAGAAGCAGAGCGCGAATTTATCACTGCCTCAGAAGGGCTCGGAAACTCCCAAAAAGCAGAAGTGGCATGGCTGGAAAAGAAGGGCTACGAGTACTGGGCCGTGGACGTCTCCACGTGGCTTTCGGGAGGTCAGAGTTTTGTCCCAGCATCTGCCGAACAGCAGCCCCAATTGCTCGGCCGGCAGGACGACATATTTAGTGTTTAATTTCGATAGCAATTTATTTTCGAGTAGAGTTTAAAGCTTTCGATGAGACCGGCTGAAGCCTTCCGCACTCAGGTCATTGCAATCTGCAAACCGTAGGTTGCCGAAGTGCCTGGCGCCACAGAGTTCTGCTTGTTTGTTTGTTTGTTGTGGCTTCGGGTACCCGTCTTGGCTGATGCTAACGATTGAATTGAAGACAGTGGTCGGAGTTTTTCAAACCAGTGGATTTAGATCAAAACAAGGCACGATCAGTGCGGAAAGAGCCTGTGCCGATGGCCTTGTGAGCCAGCCTTTCCAAGATCCCTCACCTGTCATGTCCTCCAAACCACTGCAGAGTTCTCGAAGAGACTTGCACTGCGAGCGTTGATGCTGCCACCATGGAGCATGCCGAAGGGCCATGCGCCACGGATGGTCTTCGAAGACGGTCCTTCGCAAGCACTTTCCCTTACGAGACTCCCATATCTTACTTGTGAGCATCGTACTCAAGCAGGACTAATTACGAGTACTATGTTGTCTGCGTTGCTGCGAGTGTGGTGCACGCCGCAGGGCCACATGACGCAGATCCGATCTTGATCGAAGCATTGGCAAGTGCTGATTTGTGTTCTAACATCGGCAGCAGGTGTTTCGGCAGCTTCAAGGTGCTGATCAAAATAACGCGTCTGGAGTGCGTCCGTGTTTCCGGGTCGAGATATCGAATTTTGGGATTTGGTTCTTGGGTTTCAAAAGCAGCCAAGGCTCTGTGACGCGTGCGTCCCCGGGCGGTGGAGCAGCCAAGAAGGCACGAGGGAAAGGGCTTCATTTTTGACGGTTTAGGGTTTAGGGTTCAGGGTTTAGGGTATTGTTGCCATGATTCCGACCATCTACGTTCTCCAGCACGACGCTTTGTTCTGTCATATGCCGGTCTTAGTATTAAAACAGACTAGTCACTCGTCGGTCTGAATAACTGGAGTAGGACTTCAGGAAATATTGACTAACGATCCAGACCTCCATAAAAAAAACCATGATTGCAGCTTTTCGATCTTTTATTCTACCAGCGGTCTTCAACACGCATGTGGTCTTTCATGTCCCCATGATGAGTGCCTCGGTGACAGTGGTCATCATTCCAGTGTTGACTAGGAATTACAGCTGTTCTTCTTGTCGTTAGCGTCAGTCTTTCAGGGTCGAGAGCCCTAAACCCTAAACCCCCCTCAGAAAGCCCTAAACCCTAACCTAGTTTCGGTATTGAGCTTGGGGGTCTTGGGGTTAAAGTGCTGGTCCAAGGATCAGGGACGCGGCGGAAGACTTACGAATCCTAAACCCTAGAGTCTAAGCCCTAACTTACTGCTCTGTTGAGAAATCCTAAACCTTAAGCCCAGGAGCCAACGTCTGTCGTCCAGCGCCTGCCGTTTCGGATTTTGTTCTCCAGGGTTGTGGGCAGGTTGGGCTTCGAGTTTAGAGTTTAGGGTTTAGGTTTCAGGGCTGGTCGCTCAGGGGAAATATCTGAGTGTTGGCGCTTCGCGGCTTAGCGTGCAGGGGTCTTGTCGTACCCTAAACCCTAAACCCAAAACCCTAAATCAGAAAACCCTAAACCGCCTTAAACGCTAAGCTGGAATCTCTTGAGCGCAATCAGATCCCGCGCCAGGTGCCACGGAGGATATTTGCCAGCTTTGTGCTGCTGGCCGCTTCAGCGCCAACCCGGCGGCGGAGAGCGCTGCCTCGTTCGAAGCTAGCAAGTCTTTTCTTACGGTTGATGCTATAAATCCTGCAGTACCCAGAGTAAGGAATATGCCAACATTCCCATAGTTGAGGGTCCTCAAGGTAATGCAGGATTTACATC